CCTCCAAGGATAATTCTCACCAAGTAAAAATAATTTCCTACAGAAAGTTGTCAAAATATACCCAAAAGTGTTATTTCCCTATATAAACTATAGTAAACTTTACCCCCTCCCCGATGGAGAACGGATACCTTGGGGGTCCTGAAATTTACAATTTAAATAAAGCCCCTGATGATCTTTCTTTTCATGCAGAGAAAATCACTGTAGTACCTCTGAGTCTGGAGAAGAAGATTTTTGAAATATTGATTAATTTTCATACACCCAGGCCCCAGGGGTTGGGGTAGGAATCCCAATTTTACATTTTGAAACCATCTTCCTCCAAGGATAATTCTCACCAAGTAAAAATAATTTCCTTCCGAAAGTTGTCAAAATATACCCAAAAGTGTTATTTCCCTATATAAACTATAGTAAACTTTACCCCCTCCCCAAGGGAGAATTGATAGCTCGGGGGTCCTGAAATTTACAATTTAAATAAAGCCCCTAATGATCTTTCTTTTTATGCACTGAAATTGGATGTAGTACCTCGGAGTCTGGAGAAGAAGATTTTTGAAATATTGGTAAATTTTCCCTTTGGGGCCCTACCCTGGCCCCAGGGGTTGGGGTAGGAATCCCAATTTTACAATTTTGTAGCCACATCTACCAAGGATGATTCTGACCAAGTTTGAAAAAAATCTATCCACTGGTTCCTGAGAAGAAGTTGAAAATGTAAAAAGTTTACACATGACGACGGACGGAAAGCGATTAGAATAGGTCACTTGAGCAAAGAGCTCAGGTGACCTAAAAATATAATGTTTTATTCTGTTTTACAAACATTGTCATGTTATATATAATTTAAATGTGCTGAAGCATTGTGTTAAATGCTGTGGAAATATTTCTTCACAAAATTATTTGGGCCACCTATATGCCATTTGGGCCAGTGCTTCAAATTTTTTACTGCCCAAAAAATATATTTTGGGCCAGCTATGCAGGTTCCCCACTATTCTTTATTGTTCATGTTTACTTTTGAAACTGATCAGTTGAAGGTTTGTTAGTACTATTTCTCAGGAATAACTTGAGGGATCTTTCTCAAATTTGATATGTAGGTGCCCCTTGATACCTCATTGTGCATGTAATATTTTGAGACTGATCATAAAAACAGATCTTTCTCATATTGCAATGATCGATTCTATTTCTTTCACATTAAGAATTGTACTAGTAAATATGTTAAATGACAAACTCACTTTGAAGGTTGGATTTCATACACATCAGTATTAAGTTTAGATCAAAAGTTACCTCAAGGTGCATTTACTGTTAACATGACTGGATCAAACAGATTAGAGGAAAGAAGAGAAAAGATCGAACTGACAAAGAACTAATGAAGATGGTACAATGGTGGGCACCAAGATACCTCTTGGATCTCTTGTTCATTTATAAGATCATTAGAGGGATGACCATAAAATCCCTCCAGACATTCTCTGGAGGAGTAAACTTTTAAAGAAAAAGTTGGAGACAATTAAATGCCCAAGGCTCGGGCCAAGTGACCTAAACATAAACCACAGAAGCAATAATACATAACACTGAAGACTCAATACTAGTTTATTGATTGGAACATATTGACCTTTCTTTCTTCAAACAAATACAGATGCTCTAACTAAAGTAACAGGTATTTCATTCAAATTTCATTACCATTACTCCTAATTGATTTTTTTTTATCAATATCTGATTAGCTAATCAATTATATTTCAATAAAGTTCTGGTTACAACCTCTAGAAAATTCACCTATCACAAAAACAATTATATACACACATAATGGAAGATGTACACAAAGAGTCAAATTAAAAAGCACAAATTGGAACATGTATACACTTGTCAGTTTTCTAAATTAAATGGGCATGAAATGGTAAACTTTAAGATTTTGACACTAGTTTTTATATTCATTGCATGAACTAAACTAGTTTAGAAAATATAGCCCTCCTAGTTAGTTAGAATATCAATCACTTATAAGCATAATGTAAAATTCCTTGATGAACTGGTCATGATCCTACTTTTGAAATTAAGGTTTAAATATATCTGCTTGTTTTATTTCCTTCTCATTTAAGGTATATCTTTGTACCAGGATGTATTCTACTCAATGTAAAGAATGACACTAAATATTGTCCTAACAAGTTTACATATCTGTCACTTAAGACTATATGCTACTTTAATTCTGTGACATGTTGAGCTTATACATATCTGTCACTTAAGGCTATATGCTACTATAATTCTGTGACATGTTCCTCCCTTCCACAAGAGGGTCACAGTCAGAAACATTAATGGTTATTATAATACAATGATAACCTGGGTACACATTGGAATGATAAACAAAAATGAATAGCATTTACACAATATTATTATAGCAATTTGGGAATAATGTTTTAAAGGCGCCGAGTATGTACACTTTAATAAAACACACATGCATGAATATACATCTTAATCAGTCAACATATCTAATAATAGTTTTCTCTACTCACTATAACAGTATTCTTTAAGTTTGAGTATTCTATAAAACAGCAGATGTGAGTACTTTACAAGGCAACTTAGTTGAGAAAAATAGCAGATAACTTTCAGAAAATAAATATACAAAGTAGTCCATACTAAATGAATCCTTGGCAGTTTTATAAATAGTTCAATTAAAGAATGTGTACTAGTGATGTTGACTGATAAGAAGTGTATTGTCAAACTTCTCCAGCTGGAGAACAAGTTCCTCCTGGGCTGAAAATCAAAACAAGCTTATGTATGGCGATTTATATAGTACTAAATCAATTATATGAACATATCTATCTTCGTTAGCCAAGTGTTCGCCTCGTATACACTCCACTTACACGAAGTACACTTGGCTAGCTAAGATGGGACATATCATGTTAGAAAGGGATATTCTATCCCTAATCCTGTCAAATAGAACGATCAGTTAGGTTTAGGGGGAGCCTTGGGAGGAGCCTTGGGGGGAGCCTTGAGGACACCGACTCTACGTAGATACTGTACGATGAATGGTGTTGATGTCAGTGTGATTCCAATCCGAACAGGTGCGAATACTTTGTGAACAGCGTAGGCAACGACAAAGGTGCTAGCTCCGGCAGCCAACTTGGACTGAAAAATGCTCTCTCCTATCCCAAGCTTGGTCAAAAGTCCAACAACATCAAGGCCACTGTAGATAAAGAAACAAAACAATTAATAGAAACTATTTGTTGTACACAACATCTGATAAACTACTTAGCTTACAGTAGGATTTTTTTTTTTTGAAATTCTCCACCAAATTATGTCGAACTATAACACATTTGGTTATGTTTGTAATTCCTATAGCTATTGGGTGAAGGTTATAACAATGTTAGCTCATGCTTGTGATTAGAATGATTAGCACTAGGATTCTGTCAATCTGACTCTCTATACATTGCTGAGTAATGTTTGTGGTGGCTCAAGTAAGGTGACAAGGGAATATATCTATCAGTACCATTCCTTTTCTAACGAGTTAATCAGGGTGTTATATTAAAGGTTGTTCGGGATTATTGTTCTGTTTGTGATTTACATTCTAATATCAGCTATGGTCATTTAAGGATATGCCAGGATTTTGCGATGGATAAAAAGGAGTTCCCAGTGAAAAAAAGCACCAATTAAGGCCAGTACCTCACAACTGCCCCACAAACCCACAACCTAGTGGTGGAGTGCTAGTGATCATTGATTTGAATGTTCTATTGAAACTCTCTTCAATGCAGCATAACAACTGCAAACAAAAATGCACATAGTTGATAATGAAATTAAAGAAAAATATTTTTGACAACATAGTTTTTGTCAGTTGCCGGGTATGTGTTTCAATATTTGCAAATGATGTTTATCTGTTGACAAACAAACAAACTAATGGAGTTCGTTCTTATCAAATAATTGACAGATATATTTAGACAGGTCAGATGTCGCGAGGCCCCGTGATATTGTAGAGTCATTCTAGTTATTCACACCCAAGGTTCCCGGTGCAAGTTCATATGGGTGCAGCATTGTAGGTATGTCAGTGTGATTAGCATAGCCGGGTATATGTTCCCAATATTGTCCTGTCGTTATAACTTACCACAAATGCCCAGATCTAGAGAACAAACATATGTATGTCTATGCAGTCGAGTATAAACATGGTACCCCTCCCAATGCACGTCCCCCGTACCATCACTACCTTCACTCAAACGCAGTGATAAGCATAAACACTGCCAACAAAACACAAGGAACAGGAAAGGGACTAGATTTTTAAACAATATAAAGTTACAACTATTTAAACTGGGTTTTGTTATACATAACATAGCTAAAAAACCATTTAGGAAGAAATATATTGCTGCTTATTATTTGAAATGATTTCTTACACTGTTCTACTTATATATATATCCAAGACTTTCCAGTCAATTATTACATAACAATAACAAGCGTTTCATGCAGTTACAGGGAAACACAAATGTAATTGATACTAATGGTGCTGTACCAGTTACAGGGAAACACAAATGTAATTGATATTATGGTGCTGGCTGGAAGTTGTACCAGTTACAGGAGAACACAAATGTAATTAATATTAATGGTGTTGTTCCAGTTACAGGAGAACACAAATGTTATTGATATTAATGGTGTTGTTCCAGTTACAGGAGAACACAAATGTAATTAGTATTAATGGTACTGACTGGAATTTGAGCACCGAACCTCCTGTAAGTAGATGGACATTGTAACCAACTGAATGTCTGATTATACCCATCAAATTTCTGGATTATAAATGTTAGTTTAAATAGGTTACTGACTGCACTGTGTGTAGAAACATTAGTTGTTTTCAGGCCAAATCAAATTTAGTGTCTATTCTACAGCAAAGTGCATGATGTTATATTTGTATAATAGTAAACTTGCAGAATTATGAATTTGTTGTAACGATCCACTATTAATATTTCTAGTATATTTAAGGTGTTATGAAAATTCATAAAGCAACAGAAGTTTATAAGCACTCAATGTTATAATCCATCAGTGTGTATATATATTCCAAAATAATATCTACATCCAACTCAAATGTACCTTGACACTAAAACGTAGAACCCTCCAAGGGACATCAAAGATATGCCTACATGGAAAACTATCACAGTAGACCCATATTCTGTAATAGCTTTCCTTAACTTTGCTCTGGAATACTTTGAAGAAGAGTCCTCAGTATTTGGAGATGGGGTAGATGCGGGTGGATTGTTACCGACCTCTTGAGGTTCCTGGTTTTGTTTCGAGGTTGAATAATGCCTCTGCTGTTGGTGATTCTTTACAATAGAGCGGATGATATGGCCCTGTTCATTGATGATGTCAGCCATAGTCCTGCTTCCTGTTTCCAATCCTGGAAGGTTTTCTTTAAAATGTTTGTGCAAACTGAACCTGTTACAGTTTTCTACCCACAGTCTAAATTGTACGGAGTCCTCCCCCTGGATACCCTCTGGTGTACATGAAGAAACGTCTATCAGAGCATCGGGGGATGTAATGGCTGGATGGCTCCTAGTATTTTTTCTGTAACTTTCAGCTACACTTCGAATAATTTCCTCTTGTTCCGCAAAAACCTGAGCTAGAGTTTTTCTACCAGATTGAATGCTCTGATATTGTTCATCACAGTTCGGAAGTCCAAATCTTAAACAAGTCTCCATCCATAATTTATGTTGGACACAATCATCACCTTGAATACCCTGTGGGCTAGGATCATTGTCAAACACTGCATCTTTGTAACTAAACTGTGCAGCTTGTGACAAACGTTGGACACCTACATGAAAAGAACGTCTCTGGTTTGGAATATTAACGTCATTTCTACCACCAGATATATATTTCTGGTATAGCTTTTTACCATTTCCTGGCATGTTTTGTGGGGTACCATGATCAAGCTGTACTGCATAGTGATCAGCTTTGACAGCATAAGGTTCAGGAACATTCGTCTGCATACAGCCATGTAAATTGATGTTTCTTGAGCAGGAATACGTTTTCATATTTTCTGGAATTTCAGAGTCAGCGACAGTATCAACGGCAGCAGATACATTTTCTAAAGCAGCCAATTCGTCACGACCACCCTGAATTCCTTGTACACTAGGACCATGTATAGAGTATTTTACGGCCTCTTCCAAAATCTGTTGTGATTCCTCAATGGAAATATGTTTTGCATGGCCCTGGACACCTTCGATAGCGGTAAAATGAGTCTGGCTCTGCTCATGTTTATCAAATGCATGACCTGACGCTGCATTTACCTCAAGAACAGCCCGCATGGACAAGTTCCTTGCACTACTTACAGTAAACGCTACCTTCCTTAACGAGAACATTGTGACAACTGTCAGTTGTTGATTAAGTTCAGGATGATGTAAGGTTGTTTACATTCTGTTCGTGTGTCGCTCTAGAACTTGGACAAGAGGTCAAGAACGTCAAAGTTACACGAAAGCTTGAAACCCAGCTGCTATCCGCAAACATTTTAAAGACTATTTCTAATACTAATGCGGGTTTCTCTTGACAAACCGAATATTTCACAACCTAATATTAGAGGTGTCACGAACAGTCACAAAGAGTGCTGTTCACGTGAACTGCGCCTGTTAGATCAGTGACATCCTTCACAATCAATAAAAGGTGTTTTTTAGGCAAATGGATTGCTGTCAAAAACTCGACCGACGGAGTTAAAAAAAGACAAAACCAGTAAACATGTTATGCACAGCACCACGGATTAGATAGCTAGGCTAATCTAATTCCGTGACAGCACTAAAACATACGTCCAATAAACTGACACTCTCCTTCAGATCAGTGTATGATAGAATACATGTATATATAATAAAATAGAAGGAGAGTGTGTCAGCATTTAAATACTAGCTTCATCTTAAGGGACTTTCAAATTAACTAAAGTGATTTTTTTAACCTTAAGATAATTTTACTTTAATCACGGAATTAGATCCGTGCTTTAATTAAGTAAAATGTATTTTATTGTCCTTCATCTTTTTCACAAATAAGTGTACGTGAAATAAAACATAATGAAAAAACCGGCACACGTTTATTTACCTTAACTAACTATCCTCGTATTCACTGCCAAAATCTGTAAATAGGTATGTTTTTCAATTTCCCCCGATAGGACTAATTTCTACGTCAGGGGCGGCTCCAGGTGAGGGCGTTATGGGCGTACGCCCCCCCCNCTAATATTGTATTGAATATGGCAATTCATCATATTCATCAATTAAACACATAACACCCTGAAACTTTAACTATAAAATATACATGCTCCAAGTCAGAAACCGTTACATTAGTGCATTTCACAATTATTTTATGTTTTTTAGCACAAAAAAAGGTCCATTTTTTTTTGCCGAGCGGAATATTTGATTCTACGCCCCGTCTTTCAAATATCCTAGAAACGCCCCTGTATGTAAAGCTTTGATAAATCATTTCTGAAAAGAAAATCATACCTATAATAACGGACTTAGTAGCTAATCTAATTCCGTGCTATAATACACGTGAAGATGAATTAATAATGAAACAAAATCAGCATGGTTACACCGGGATTCAAGCGGTGGAACTCAAATTGTTGCACTCTCGATCTAACCATTCGAGCTCCCTGGTCAACGGAATTGTGTGTTACTAACTGTACATGTGCTTCTGTTTTATCCAAACGATAGGCAAAAACACAGTCCAATGGGACAAGGATCCTTAATAATGTGTGTCTAAGGGTTAGGGGTAGGCTGCCATAAATATAAAGCGCTCTTCTTTTTCATTCTCTATTCTAGTGTGTATTTATTATAACCAGAATATAATAAAAAAAAAACATAGGTGAAAGGGGCTTGCGGCTGGGTGATCCCATTGACCAAATCTGACATCATGAGTATACCCGTTACACAGTTACAAAATGTATTGCAGTGCTGTCGATGTGAAAGTTGATCAATTTAAGCGAGGTTCGCGAGGCAATTATTTCATCGCTGATAGCCAAAATCGATCGATAATTACGTTGTTTCATTCCGATATTTGGGTAAGCAGCTGGGTTCTATCTATCACCAGATAGAAAATTGTTGTTTCGTCATTGTAAAAAATGATGTCTGTGAACCCCCTCCCCATTAGAATTAAGTAACCTGGGGTTTACCTATGGTGTGGTATTGTTGACTGAGCATGCTATGGCGCTGTGTCTGCATCTTAGTAGATTCCCGAAGAGAACCCTAGAAAGGTCGGGGTACAGAAACAGAACCTCAGAAGATGTATTGGGCACATTTAATGACATTTACTATTTAGGTTGTATAGTTACTAACAGTTGTTTAACCAATGTGTAGAAGAGTAGTGAAGAAAAATTAAGCTTTGAGGATGAACATTCATTCATCAGTGAAAAGACGATCAGTCCCAGAATATGAGGCCATGGCCAGTCAATCGGGTATAACGACGCATCACAAGTTAACCGGTTTAAAATGCAAAGTCTGATACACGACAAGTATGCATGCATGTACGTTTTATGGTATCAGATAGCAAGTGATTTTCTGATATATATGTGACCCAAATAACGACTCATCCACTGAAGAAATTTCCCCATTTGTTTTTCACCTTGTTGTTTACCTGTTCTCGCATGACCAGCCAATCATAATAACACACTGTTCTACTACCTAGTTGTTATTGTAAATTGCCAATTGTTTATTGCTTTATCGACATATATTTACATAATTTCAACACCATACGTTTTGCTCAGGACGAGTTTGGCAGCCACCAACTCATTTCAACACACCGTTGTGTGTGTGACCTTGGGTAGGAGGTTTTGGTTTGGTTTTATATTTTAACGTCCTATTAACAGCAAGGTCATGAGGACACGCCTCCATGTGTGTTGTGTAAGCATGCATACGGTACAGATATCTGGTACCATTCTAGGTCATTATATGTACTCGGATACTTAATTAGTTTAAATTATGATCAAGAACTAGTTTGCATTCTTTTACAAAAGTTTTTTTCATTGTGTTTTAGCTATAAGCATGTTGTAGGCCTCAAGCTTAATTGGTTGAGTCGACGTATGTGGGTAACTGATATTAAGTAGTGATATTAAATATGGTACAAATGACGACAAAAACCTTCTCATTTAAGTAAATAAAACTTAATGCAAATTTATTCTTATTTACGCGAAAGAATACATATCGATCGCAAATAAATCATTTCATTTTAGTGAAATATAAAAATGTCTAGTAAATATTTCCATTTTATTAATGAAATAGTTATAGTTAATACAGCTACACTGGTACATTTCAAGCTAAAGGTCATAGTTGATAAGCAAAACTAATCCTTTATTTGTATTTTTATAACGGTGTAAAGTTTCAAATCAGTATACATAGTTACCCTTGTATCATTCTCGGTTTCATTTGTGTAAAGTATTGTTAAGGTATTTCTAAACATTTTCTTTAGGTTGGTACGTATGGATTATGAAAAGTTCTTTTTTACACAACCAATAAAATCACATCACGAAACGTCACATAGAAAATGTTATTGGTTGTGTAAAAAAGAACTTTTCATATTGTTAAGTTTATATGGGTAAGGATATCTTGTAGCGGTTTACATAAATGCATATCATCGGTCACGTGTCTCATCGTGTCTTATTTAGATATCTCTGAAGTATATCGTGATCCTTTGGTGTCGTTAGAAAATAGAAAATGCTTCCTAATTAAACACATTGGACCGGTCATAGGCCTGGTAACTTTACCATGTGGAACCTACTTCCAAGGAGATTAGCTATTATATACAGACACTAGCATGGTCGTCTTCTGCTTGGAAGGGAATTGTGTATCCAGTTTACTGGTGAGTCTTTGGTGTGTTACGGTGTCGAAAGCCGTTTGGTAATCCGTGTAGATACAACCAATCAGGAAACACATATATCCTAAAAGTTATTTGCAGATGATATAACCATTATTGCAGAAACAGCTGTTGATTTACAGTTGGGATTGGATATTTTGTATGACATCTGTGATAGATGGAACATGCTGGTGACAATTGTTTGATATCAGAATGTAACTACAGGCCCTTTGTGAAGATCATGTATTTAATTACAAATACATGACAACAGATCACGTCCGGGGAATCTGAAGCAGTTAAAATGCAGGTAACCAGGGGCGAGAACCTGAAACACTCATAAGTGCCAAGAAATATGTCAGGCTTCGGGAACCTGAAATAGCCTTTTGCTTATTTCAATTATCGTTGAAATAAAATCATTCGAAATTCAGTAAACAAATATTTATTTGCAAAATGTATGAAAAATCGCATTAACACATTTAAGTACAAGTCTGTTATTTTATGATATCATGTTCACATTGACGTTTTCGGGCGTACGTCCAGCCAAGCCTTTATCTGTGGTATGGTCGAGACTCGAGTCCTGTGGGCAGCTATCTGTGGTAACTTGGGTAGCATTGGAGCTCCCTCGGGACCACTGAAGAACATGTCGAATCCGTCAAACAGCACGATGTCTGCGAACGTTAGCTGCAACAGGAAATATATATATGCCAGGTAAACGTTAGGTGCTGTCAAGTTTAATTTGTTCAATTTTCAGTAATACTAGTCAATTATAAAATTGGTAAGTTAGTTTAATTTTTTACCAAGAAAAACTTCCCCTAAATCTCTTTTTTCAACCAAATTAAAATATTATTTAGTGTCTAACTCAGATAGATAAATGTGACAAACAACCCGCCACTTATTGTGTTGACTGTATATAATATCTATATATGGGGACTCGCACACAAGTTAGCTGTTATATTTTAACATACCGATTTGCCGATTACCCAGCCAGTTCCATTCTTGGTAAGTTTGGCCTCGCACTTTTTCATAAAATTTGGCAGAGTTTCCTCCTTTAGTTTTTTGCCCATGGTAGCCTTAAAAGGAACGCAATGAAGATGTCTCAACACAAGAAACGAACACAAACATGCATACCACACAATTCACGTGATAGACTCATCATATTCACTGTTGCCCTAAAGGCTGAATGCAGGGTATAACATCTACCGTTTTAAAGGACTTTGGTATGTCTCGGCCTTAGGATAGCACCCATATTACTTTACCCCAATAGGGCAAAAGTGGGAAATTGCCAAGCAAGGCGCCAGGAAAAAAAAGTATGCTAAACAAAATAGAAAGTATCAAGTTCCTCATTGTCGCAATGTGATCATCTTACATCATGATTGGGTAACAGCAGACATATTCTATACACAATCTTTGACCTGCAGGATGGATGAGAGAGAAACAAATCACGTTAAAATCTCATATTGAATTAGTGTAACAGGATTTGTTAAATTTAACAAGTTATGACCAATTGTTGCAAGTTGATTTTTACTGCTATGTTTATTCACTTGAAGATATTATATGACCGAAAGTGGAAATTTGTCTTATATCAGCTGAAGTTCCCACAAAAGTTGAAAACTAACAAAAAACACCCCAAAAAACGGCAAAAACAAGGAGCACAGTGACCCCATTTGTTTGACATTTTTAAGAAGAGAACGTTTTCTCCAATTGTATTTGAAAGACTTTTTACTACGTCTACTTAGAAGAAAATACTATTAAAACAATTCAAATAATTAATTTCCCCCAAAATCACACATTACGTCAAATATATATTTCAACATATTATTTTCTTTGCACTTTTTTGTTTTCTTTGACTTTTTACAGGAGCAGATCTTTGGGTATAGGGGATAATGATAATTATTTCGAAGTTGATGGCGTCGTGTCAATTGCGGTTATTATAATGTCTCAACACCAAAAGACATTTTTTTTTAGAATCCCCATGACATACTTTAGTAAACAGGCATTCTTTGTAAAAAACAGAACATGTGATCTAAAAACGGCTTACCTTTCTGGCCTCATCCTTCTCGAAAAACACAGCTATCATCGCTGACCGGCATTCAACGACGTCTTCTACAAATTCGTCGATAGCGAGGCCGCTTATCTCGTCACTTCCCATGAGGCCTGTGGAATGTCACAACAGCAACATATTTAAACTTTATACAAATTTGTATAACTTTATACAACTTTGCATGACTTCATACAACTTTGTATGGCTTCATACAACTGTTCATTAAATCGTAATACAAATTTGTATTTCTTCATACAACTTTTTGATAAATCGTCGTACAACTTTGTATTTCTTCATACAACGTTTTGATAAATCGTCATACAAATTGTATTACTTCAAACAACTTTTTGATGAATAGTGATTCAACTTTATACATACAACATTACATTAAAACCTTATACAATATACCACCATATCCTATACCACTGAGGGCTGTGTAATATCCTTTATGTTTAAGATTACACAACATTCTTTACGCAGATACTTGACATGCAGTTTATTCTATCTATTAAAATTCCACACAGGAACACATAAGAAATGTCTAATATATCATTAAAATGCGAAATCACTTTCCATCTTATAAGCATACATCTAATATTTACCAAATTTCCTCGCAAGATATCTATTTAAAGCCATGCTTTGTCCAAATCCCTGGCCATCGACTTCCAAATACGGAACGGTTCCACCGGGTGCGCCTGAAATAGGTCATATCAACCACTTATAAATAACATTAAATAACCAACCAGTAGCGCGTGACTCAATTGATCAATCAATCAATAGTCATTTATAACAGCGTCACATGCCAGACACATACTTTAACATATAAATAAAAAATTAACGTAACACACACAGATTGTGCCTTTTAAACTGGTAATATATAACAGTATGAATTACACTGCATCATATGGCTGCTTCGTCCTTCCAGCACCTTCATCGGTGATGCTAGGGGTCAGTACTAGGGGCCAGTACTAAGGGCCAAAACGTTCGAGTAACAGAGGGACAGGTGATGCTAGGGCCAGTACTAAGGGTCAGTAATAGGGGAAAAAACGTTCGGGAAACAGAGGGGCAGGTGCGTAAAACCCCTTCATTTATGAATTTAATATTTTTTAGTATTGGTTAATTTCAAAGTGTGTATATCAACAGCTGTGTCACTACTCAAAAGAGATTACTGTGGCCATCAAGGTTCCGTGTCATTTTGTGATGCCAACAAGTACTGCGTTTTACCTGTACAGGGGAGACCACTCTATCCTAATATCTAGACATGCGGTCCATTAGCTAAAATACAACCTGAAATAAATTTCTTGATTTACGGTTGCTATATCAGAATCCTGACTTACAAAAGAAATACAAATAGCATGTCATGCTATGAGGAAGAAAGAGGACGAAGAATAGTGGGACGGAAAGACAATGATAGTCATTTTTTAGAGTGCATGTTTAGATGATAATTAGCGGTCGGTCGTGTGATGGGGAAAAATCATCGAAATAAAGCATATCATCTGCCATCATAGTTAAAATATTGATATTTTTTTTTGTCTCTCTGCTTTCATGAACATTAGATATTATTTATATCTCTAAGCTCATATATACTGGGACTTGAGGATTTGTTACAGCTATATTTGGACCTAAACTGAGTAATTTGCCATGTTTTAGGGGTTGAGATCGAAATGGAGCTTCCAATCCTTCTCGTATATATATATATATATGATCATTGGGGGTGTCATTTTTACCGAAAATCGATCTGAACCCCTAAAACATATAACATTACTCTGAACACCTTGGTTTAGGTCCAAATATAGCTGTAAAAAATTATCAGGTCCCTGCGATCATATATCCCTCCACTTATTTAGCATCGCTATATTGTCACACATTAAACACATGTACAGGTATGATAACACGTACGTGTTATAACTCATATACATGTACACACCTGTACAGGTACACGAATCGATAAGTTTCCTGGCACGTGCTCATTACTACATGCGAACGGGATTGCGTTACAGTACCAAATACATGTACTTACTTTCTTTCAGTTCCGGCCATTTTGCTCTGTCGATCCGAACATCTTCATATTTTACTTTAGCATAGGCAAATAGCAGTCTGGCCATTTCCGCTCGGCCTTTTAGGTCGAAATAATGTAGTTTGAATGTAGACATGATGGTGCTGCAATGCTATGGACGGTCACACCGGCTTCACCTGATCAAGTGGATGTTCAGCGGAGATACCGCCCACCGATAGTACGGCTAGCAACGCGGCTATCAGGGTAGACATAGGTCAGCTTATATTTATGATATCAAACATATACCATGGTATCCCTGCATTCCACAGTAACTACAACAGGTCACTGAGGTCAATGCCACACATTCTCGACGTTCAATAGTAGTTAGAGTGTCGGGGTCACAAACCAGTGTAACATATGTTATTTGTTCTGATAAAGCACTGAATCGGATTGGCCGTGGAATAGATGTTACTTTTCAATCTGTCTGAATATCTATTCGAACGCCCAGTTGATGATTTTGTCTTGTACATACAAGATGAATAAATAAACTATGTCAAATATATAATTTGGAAAATATATTTCGACAGAGAAGCTTAGACTATTTTACTACACTTACAGGGTCGAAATGTTGAGTGATAATTACAGTGCAAGTCAGATAGAAAATGGCCTTGTTATCCGTGTTTTCTACCACAATTCGGTTGTAATGTTGTAAAATATGACGGTTTCTTGTATTCAAGAGAGTAATAACCATATCGTTTCTGAGACTTTGCTTAATAACTTGTTTCATAATTGTTGTAAAGCGATAATTTAGACTTCGCTAATTTGGCGACAACTTGGGCCAATCTCGCGCTGGCCCTAACCCTAACTCTAACCCTAACCCTAACCCTATAACTCCTGTTATACAAGTCGTCTGTGAGTGTATCCTGGATATGTTAACTTTTTCATATACTGATAAAGGTTTGCATATCTCGATTTCAAAACTAAAATCTGCATTTTTATTATCATATGAATATTGTCTTTTTCCTGTTGTTGTGTATTCTGGTGCAATTGTTTTGATATCATTTTCTGCAAAAATAAAAGCTGGGTGTTATCTGTGTAAATATATCTTTAGACCCCGTTAATGTCTGGGGATCAATTACGTAGATTACAAACTATTCTTAAACCTTCTTAGTGTGGATAGGTCGGAAACACATAGCCCATCTACCGATACTCTTTGTTTTCTGCCGTACAAGAACTCCTGAATCATTTTGATTATTTCGCCTTTTATATTTGTACGCCTTGCGGCTTTAAGTTTTCTATTTGGCGCAGTATAAAAAGCTATTACAAATTCTACATAGATCAAGAATGTTGCCATGATCTAGTTTTTGTCTACATGTCTAGACCTGCTAGTAAGTAGAGGGTGATAGAACGCCCCGGTATAAAACCGTTATATATAATACGTACATTGTTATCCTTCGTATACTTAGGGGATAGTACGTTGTTTTGAGTAGCTATACTGGCGATTACAACATGGAATTTGGGTTTGAACTCGAGACCAGTATAGACATTTGGGCCCGCCCATACAGGCGAGAGGTCGATCTGTATGTTGACGAGGCGGAATATTTGGATTGTTCGTGAACGTCCTGTTACCAAAGTTTATACGACACATTTGGATTAATATTGACCATGATCTTACATTTCCATGTCAGTATGCATACCAATATGTGCTTATCGACAAAATCGGTGATTATTTGTATAGATTTGTGAAGAGTTTTGTGTAAATGCATACGACACATGTGAAATGTTTCTTTTGATTTCGGATCTAGGTGCCTTCACACGGATAGAACGAACGTTTCAGTAATAAATGGAGGTAAGAACAAGGATGCGTTCTTTTTACTTTTTAATTCATTCAACAAATACATTTCATCGGTCGTTTCTGTTCTGTTGCCTACTAAGTGCATAAGCCTTATCAGCGGGATTTCGCTAAGAGGCGAGCTTGACGCCATATTGTTTTGGTTTGAAACGGGGCGTGGCTTAAGTGCGATGGGAGGAGCTTAACACGATTGATCATGATTCTATCGCAGATTAAAACATGGTCCGTATCCAATCAAAACACGAGTTGCAAACGAATCGTGTTAGAATTTACGATATAAACCCTGCTCAATTGTTTTTTAAATTTGCACGCTAGTTATGCAAGACACTAACTAGTTTGTAATTTCCCGCTGATAACCTTAATTATATTGTCGTGACTCGTTTAACTGGTACTTATCCAGAAGTGAAGGGTGGGTTGAAAATTAAGATGATCGTTTGTGCTGATGAAGATTCATAACATGCTTTAATGATTTGTAGGTTGATGCCATCTGTTCCTGGCAACTTTTTTCTATTTTAAGATTCAAGTTCCAGTGCATATTTCCTATGGGTTCGTTTACAAAACTCGACAAGTTAATTTTGCATCGATTAAGTGTATGTGACAGTCTATAGAGCGCCTAGTGTATATGTAGACTGGTACGTTAGCTTTGATTTGGTTATAGTAATGCTGACCACTGAGAATGAATACACGTCCGACTCTTTTCAATGTCAAGATTCAGGAGTTAAACCTGTTGGATGATCGATCACCATTTAGTGTAAACCATTCGGAGTTCCAAAGCCCCAATACTCCCATGTAACTTTAAAGTACATGAAGTACATAAAGCAGTGAACTTTGAGAATTTGGCCAGTGACATGCGACAGGGTCCCCGGAGCAGTATTGAACTATTCGACGACATTGATGACATATAGGCTGCATTCAAGGATCTGTTTTCTCGATGTTATAGACAAACATTTACCTTTGATCCAGAAACGTGTTAAAATTAGTTCGGAATATTGGATAAATGAGGATATTTTAGATGAAATGCACCACCGTGACTATCTACACAGTAAAACTAGAAATTAAAAATGTATTGATGACTGGGCTACATACCGAGCTTGTAGAAATCGTGTAATGGTGAAGATTACTTAGAGCAGCTATGACCCAAAACTCTCATAGGTCTAAAGATGTTTGGGGGAAAATAAAATAGTTTTCATCTAGTTAAAAAACAAATCGTACAATTAAACTTGATGTTGATGGTAAAACTGTTTCAGAAAAAACTTGAAATTACAAACACCTTTTATGATTTATTTTCTGCAACATTGGTACTAAGATTGGTAAGGAATTTGATGACAGTTTACCTGAGGTTGAAACTTTTGAAACTCCAAAACAAATCTGCATTTACAAACAGATTAGATGTATGCCTGAATGGAAGGCTACGGGTGTTGATGGTATGTCGGCAAAGTTATTGAATGTGCCGGTCCATCAATTCTGTCACCATTGGCTTTTTTGTTCAATAAGGCAATAACTGACGGTGTAAACCCACTGAGTTGAAAAAGGCCAGGATCGCTCCCATTCAATAACTTTAGACATGTGGCTGTATTATCGGGTCTAAGCTAAATTTTATGATTTTTAACAAGAAACAAACTACATTGTAATAAGTGACTGTCAATTTAGTTTTAGACCACATCATTCTACTGAAACAGCACTTCTAAGTGTTGGTGGTAAATGGTTTAAAACATGAATCAAGGCTGTAATACGGGAGTCCTTTGTATTGAGATTCGTAAGGCATTTGCTACGGCAAATCATAAGGTACTTTTACACAAGCTGAATGCATATAGTGTGTCTCAGTCAGTTTTCCAATTTTTTGAGTCTTATCTCTCCGAGAGGTCACAGGCTGTAAGTTTCGGAAATATTTTGTCCAACTTTCAACCAATACATATTGGTACCCTGCAGGGCTAAATTTTGGTACCACTGATGTTTAATTAAATATAAATGATTATCCAAAGTGTCTTAAGCATACATCACCTATCATTATGCTGATGATACCTCCCAGGATGTCAGAGGTAAGTCTTTTGAAGTGTTCGATTATTAATTGTGTGGTTATTATACAGTCTGTGATGAATTATTGTGTGGTTATGATACAGTCTGTGATCATTAATTGTGTGGTTATTATACAGTCTGTGATGAATTATTGTGTGGTTATTATACAGTCTGTGATAATTAATTGTGTGGTTATTATGCAGTCTGTGATCATTAATTGTGTGGTTATTATACAGTCTGTGATAATTAATTGTGTGGTTACTATACAGTCTGTGATCATTAATTGTGTGGTTATTTTACAGTCTGTGATCATTAATTGTGTGGTTATTATACAGTCTGTGATAATTAATTGTGTGGTTATTATACAGTCTGTGATCAATAATTGTCTGGTTATTATACAGTCTGTGATCATTAATGGTATGGTTACTATACAGTCTGTGATAATTAACTGTGTGGTTATTATACAGTCTGTGATCATTAATGGTGTGGTTATTATACAGTCTGTGATCATTAATGGTGTGGTTACTATACAGTCTGTGATAATTAATTGTGTGGTTATTATACAGTCTGTGATCAATAATTGTGTGGTTATTATACAGTCTGTGATCATTAATGGTGTGGTTATTATACAGTCTGTGATCATTAATTGTGTGGTTATTATAAAGTCTGTGATCATTAATGGTGTGGTTACTATACAGTCTGTGATCATTAATTGTGTTGTTATTATACAGTCTATGATCATTAATTGTGTGGTTATTATACAGTCTGTGATCATTAATGGTGTGGTTATTATAAATGTTTGTGTTCTTAGCATGTTGTACATACAATGTATGCATTTATGCAGGACCTTATTGTAAATTAGAATTGTCTATATTATGTTACCCTGGACTAATAAAAGGTTTTATTATTATTATTAAACCACATGTATTAGCCTCCCGTATTGACAGAAGAGGCTACTACCTGTGATTTAACACGCTACTGAATAAGAGGTTCAGTGATATGTTCCTGTTCGCTTTTAATTTTTCGTTATTTGTATCATGTTGATTCTTATTTATCTTCCCAATGTTGATTCTTATTTATCTTCCCAATGTTGATTCTTATATTTCTTCCCAATGTTGATTCTTATATTTCTTCCCTATGTTGATTCTTGTCTGGTCATGATTTGTTAGGCTATACCGCCAAATCGGCTGGGAGTGATACCTGACCGTCTGTGATAGTTCCGATTTGATAAATAATCTTGTATTCCTTGTTTAACTCTCACTTGATTCCTTACTCTTCTGTATTATCCTAGGGCCTTACGAATGAACTCAACACCTTATTTTTGTCTTGAGTATTTGCAAGAATCTTTCTATCGGAATGCATGCAGCATTTCTTTTAAGCGTTAACTTTATTTC